GCCTCGAGAAGTCTATCTACTTCCTCCTCCACTGCTTCGACGTGTATCAATGTCGGTCTTCTTGCTCATTGGATTACCGGTTTTGCCGACCTATCAATATTCAGTTTATGGCAAGTGACCTCGGGGTCAATGCCAGGCATCTCATAAGGTGTCCAAGCAAACACCTCAATATTTGCTCTTAAGAAAGCTTCCAACTCTCTGTTTTCTTCTTCGGCTAGGCCTGAGCTGAGAAGAAAGAAGCGTTCTTCATCCCCCTCTTGGACGAGGATTTTCTTCAGTGTTTCTTCACTCTTTTCGGCCGGCTCCTTGCCGACATCATGTAGGACCTCCGCGTCATCGTCTTCAATCTCTGCCTTCTCTAGTTTTCGAATGCTGTAGGTGGATGTCATTGCTACCATGGAGCAATTCTTTGCCTGCAGCTGATCTCCTTTGGCCTCCTCAATCCCATACTCTGTTGGGAACCGCAATAGTTGATGCAAAGTTGAGGGAACAACCCTCATTGCATGCAACCATGGCCTTCCCAAAATGATGTTATAAGGGGAGGGTGTGTCAATTACGGTGAACTCTGTTGTTATCTTTCTGGTGCCTGCCAGCACCTCCAAGCTGGTTGTTCCCAGTGGCCATGTCGGCGTTCCATTGAACCCGACCATTGGGCTATTGGACTGCTCCATGTCGTCTGGGTGAAGGCCAAGCTCCTTGTAACATCGGACGTACATGATGTCACAAGAGCTGCCTTGGTCAATCAGGATGCGCTTTACTTGACATTTCCCAACTTTGAGGGATACTACCAAGGCATCGTTATGCAGATGTTGCACTATCTCAAGGTTGGCTTCAAAAAAGGACACTACTGGTCCTTGGTACTCCTCTGCCCGATGTCTCTTCTCCCCGACTTGGTAGACATGCTGCAGATGTTTTACCTTCTGGGTCTCCCCCCGAATCTCATTTTCGTTGACCTTCGAGTGAAGTACATTAATTACCCAAGGTCCTCCTGTTTGTGGTTGTTGTGCTGGGGAAGGTGGTGCTGCTGTCGCCTGAGGCAATCTTGCATGTTCTTCCCTTGTTCTGGCCTCATCGACAAGGTCTCTCAGATGGCCTTGCCTCACCAGGTCTTCCAAGTGTGTTTTCAGGGCTCTGCAGCCCTGAGTCATATGCCCGTTTTCATTATGGTAAGCACAATGCCTGCCAAGGTTTCTTCCCGTGAATTCTCCTGGTGTCTTTGTTGGTGTTCTGAAATAGGGTTGATTTCGAATTTGATCCAGGACTTTGTGAATTGGGATTCGGAATACAGTTGTCACTGCCTATGTTGCCCTCGGTTGTATCTCCTGCTTGTTGGATCCGTTGTTACCTCGGTCTCGCTTTGGCGAGCCGTTTCCCTTTTCTTGCTTTGTCTCCTTGGTCCCTGATGTATCTTCTTCGGCTCTGGCGTACTTCTCGATCCTCGCCATGAGCTCTTCAATGCTTTTTGGCAATGTCTTTGCCAAAGATTTTCATAGTGGACAGTTGTCTTTTAGGCCGTTCTTGAAAGATACAACCGCCACTTCTTGATTACACTCTGGTATTCGGTTGAACACCTCATAACACCTTTTTGCATAAGCCCTAAGGCCTTCTTCCTTACTGATCATCAAAGCCATCAATGCGTCCACCCTTAATGGCTACAGCTTGTTTGTCACGAACCTGGCCACAAACATCTCGGCCAGAGTAGTCTTTTCGGCATACTACTCTCAACTTCGTGGTGGGTCCTTTTCGATCTTTCTCCGTGAGTTGTGTCGAAGCAAAGCGCCTGCCCCCTGAATATGCCGATGTTCTTTGGGGTCTGCCTCCTTGGCGCGATGCGTCCTCTGCGATTCTTCTCTCCTTAACTCTCCTCGCCCGACCACCCTGGAAGGCCGGTGATAGTGTTTTTCACTTCTAGTATGCTGAGGGGCTATTGGGATTGTTTTCTGCCTTCCCTTCTGGGCATTGGCCGCTGGAATCGGCGTGTCCTGCAGCGGGTTTGGTGGCTACATGACGTTGTTTTGCACCATGAAGTTGACGACCGATTGCAGGTCTGCCAATTTGTTTGCCATCTCTTTTACCTCTTCATCCCTCCGCAGGCATCTATCTTTCCATACTTGGAGGTCATCCTCATTATGGTACCCACTTCGATTTGGTTTCTTTGGTACGTCGCCATCCTGGCCGACGTCTTTCTTGCTATGATTCTGGTCACGAGTTTCTGTGTTGCGGTTGTCTCCTTCGACGTCAAGGTCGATAGGTCTGCCACTTCCAGTAGGAGTGTCGTCCCCAATCTTCTCCTTCTGTCCGTCACTGGCCATCTACTCTCCTTTCCTTCCCACAGACAGCGCCAAATTGTGTGAGTGATTTCCCGATCACACTGCCCAACTCAGTAATCAGCTGGAGAGGTAGAATAGATGACACCTGGCTGACCTGCAACAGAAAGAGAAGATTCCGGCGGTGATTCGTCCACCCGGGGGCACTCCGACGATCAAGTCAGTATATCTCTCAAAGATAATCAATAGTGCTAAACTCACTATTCAAAATATAAATTGCGTACCTTAGACCCATCGGGGGTGCCTCTTTTTTATAGTTAACTCAATCTTGTCCCACTAGAAGCCTGGCTTCAATGGACTCTTGTTCAGTGCTTATGTTGGACTCTCCAATAGATAAGATAAACTCCCTAAGAGTTTTATCCTTATCCATGCTAAAGTCTTTCCTCATTCTTGTACTCTCGTCCCTTATCCGTTTATCTCAGATTCCGATATCTTCGGAGATAACCTCGGCGTCATTACCTGGATACGTGGCATCTCAGCTGACACGTCGGCATCATCTTGGCCACGTGCTGGGACTCAAAAAATATTTTCCCACAGTAAGTATCATCATTACGACTATCAAATGCACACAAGTAATACAAAAAAACAAAAAAAAAACCAGCCCTTATTTATCTGACCTTCCTCTGGTATGGGGAATTGTTTGGTTGGGTCCTGTGTTACTTCGTTAAAAACTCTGCTGTCATGCATACTACCCTCCCATTCGCAAGATATAAAAGTAAAACACAAATCGAAATCACACGCTGCGAGTATGTTTTGCGTGTGCCGTCCTTTACGGCCAAAATATGGCATTACCTCCTGCGACAGGAGATGTGCCTCCACATGTGTGCCGTCAAGCGTGCTAATACAGTCCTGCAGAAGCACACAAAGCAATACAATAACTGTGAAAGAGAAATGCTAGTACCCGAAAAAAGTTCACCCTTACTTTCTGAATGTGGCTACTATTCATAATTAAATGTGAAAAAAATTAATACACTCACTTTGAATGGGAAATATTTTCGTCGGGACTCTAAGTACAGATGTCTACTGTGTTGTGACTTTGTTGGTCGGCAGTGTACAATTGTGAACAACTTTATCGCTTTAAGAACTCGCATTACATGACGCCATACTATTTGCCCCGAGTGTTGAAAACGATCTTCTATGTCCCAACTCGGGAAGCCTCGTAATACGAATATGAACATGTCGACACTCTCAACTACGTCTACACCATGGGGACACTATGGTACTGGGAGGCCGCAATTCTCAACTAATGTCTTGCACAACATCAAGAACACATCCTGTGACATCCGAAAATTTGGCTGAAATGCTTCATTCCGACCTCAAAGCATCTCCTACATCCACATGCTACCAGTCAATGCAGATGTGTGAAACGAAGTCCTGTCAACATATACGTACTCATTGGCAACGTGAGCAATTTCCACCCAAATCATTGATGTCGTCGATTCCATTTCTCCGATTGTCTCTTGTATCCAAGCATTTATTTGGCCATTGCGTACAACTCCCGAGCTAGTACCCTCTTGTGGATCCATAGACATTCCAAATTATATGAAATAAAAACTACAAGTTGTAGTTCGCATTCGCAACATGGGTTGATCAACTCCATGATATATAACACTCTTGTTAAACATCTTCAACTACTACATTGAGTTACTGTGGCCATGTGATTGCCCAAAGCTAAACAACATGACACTACCATGTGAATTGTAGTATATTCCCCAGGTTTGTACAATTTCTATTTTGCATGCTTCCATATAAGCAACCAAGTTTCATGTGCTTGTGATTGACGTGAGCCACATCAAATAACTCCAATATTGCATCAGAAGTTTTTAGTTAAAATAAAGTAAATAAAGAAATCTAAATAAATAAATTAATGGAACACACTTTTTGAAGTAATTATGAATAATTTTCTACGATATAGATTAGTTTCACAAAATTTAATGGGTGGACAAATTTCATCACATAGTTGATATTTCTAGTTATGTCAATTTTTAGGGATGTACATTTATGGTTGTAGCTATATCAAATTTTGAATGTTTGGTTAATATTTCACAAGATATTATCCGTTTCTTTTTTTCTTCACAAAAATTAATTTTAATATGGTAAAAAAAACCCATCATTTTCTATGTTTTTTTTTCCTTCTTGGGGACTAAATTATCTATTTTTTCATTTTCTTACAAATTAGTGTTTGCTTTTGTCAATATAATTTTCGTTTTGTCAATTATAAAATAGATTTAAAAAATTCAATCCAAATAGACTATAAAATAGACTACTTTGTTTTTCACATCAAATCACCATCTGGCCCACAAATCACCATCTGCCTGTGACAAGGAGCACCTAAAATAAATAATTATATAACAAACAAAAAAGAGCCTGCAAACACAAACATAGATTCCCTAGCCATGACATTTTGCATAACATAACAACCATGTGACACAATAGTGCCATCTTATGGCGTGTATACTCGCAGATAGTACCCAAGTCCTGCACAATCATAAATAAACATCCAAACCAAAATAAAATGAATGCGAATAGTCTCGCATGTGCACCACAAAAAAAAAACACACACACACACACACACACACAGAGATTGTTATACAAACGAGTCGACAAAAGCACCAACTGAAAACTACAGTCTCATGATAAGCAAATATTAAAATGACAATCCAACCACAAAGCCTAGTCCAAGTCAACAGCACCACCACTCCCAAATAGTTGTGTCCCCCGTTCACTATCCCTGCCAACATTGGCCGGCGTGCAAGCACGCTTCTCTATCAACCAATTGACAATGTAATTCACGGGGAGGGCCATGATGATGTCTCGATTATCGGGTGAATCCATTATGCCGCATGCGAATAAGAACAACTTATCGCCGGGCTCCAATCCAGGCGTGCTCATAAGCCTTGCAAGACAATCCCCCACAGTGTTGTTACCTTTACCAGTGACAACGTATTGCGTAATTTTTAGCTCCCGGCTTTGTTTGCTCACTACTTCCACGAGATTGTCCATACTACTAGCGACAATACCAGGCATTGGCCGTTTGCGACTTTTTGCATTGGTTGATCCATCCATGGCTAACTGGGGGGGAGCATCGTCAAAGAGGCTACTATCCACCACATTTTCCCTGACAGTGTCATGGCCTGACTGTGGTGGTGTGCCCGCACTGAGAGGTCCCATCCCGCTATCCTCGTTGGCATTGGTCGCAGCAGCAGCATCATCGCGCACTTCTGTTGGAGTCCATGCATGTTTCCTAGTCGCTGCTGCACCAGAGTACACCTTCTCCATAAGGTCCAAGTGCTCTAGAGGCTTACTCTTGAACTTAGCACATCGATTGTTCATCTAAGATAAGAGAAAACATATATGTAAATAAAGCTTGAAATGTATTTGCTGCCCTTAAAGTGTACCACCAATGACAGTAACAGAGGCTAAACACATGAAGAGATTAAGTGTTGTAATTATAAAACAATAAATGTAAGCATAGAGTTAAGTGTACACATGGCACGTTGTGGGTTAAACAAGTGCTTTGGTTTGCAAAAGTAGTTATGTGAACAAAACATAGCACCACAAGACAGCAATACTAGTACAACAGTAATGGGGAAAATAAATTGTTTTGTCAATATATACCGCTTGTATTTTGGCCCACCAATGGTCAAGTGCAGTGAACAAGCCCATCTCATGGTCGTATCCAAGCCCTGTCAAGCCGTGGCTGGCATTCTCCAACTTCTTCCATGCTACCCAATCTTTCTTCAAGTTGTCAAATTTGTTTTTCATTTGTTTGGCCGAATGTAGCAGGCCGGTTTTCTCTAGAAATTTGTTCGCAACGTTTTTATTCCCAGCCATGGACAATCCGTACGGTTGCCGATTACCAACTTCCATTTCAGTAATGACGAGTTGAAGAAACAACTTTATGTTGTCACTGTCGAATTGGCATTTGTGGATTGGCTAGGGTTGGGTTGATGTGACAGCGTTACCTCGAGACTTGGAAGGGGTATGGGGTAATAATCGATTTGTTGCCATGAGTAGTGTTGTCTTGTTTGTAAAATTAATGAAATATTAGTGTCAAAGAAAGTAGAGTAGATATTTTTTGCATGCCCAAAAGTGAAATCGAAGTGTAAACACAATTACTGCAGTAATAACAACAAATAGTACAACGCTTTGCAAAAGACAAAGTCAGTTTGTATTACACGTTGGGGAAATGTTATGTAACAGGACGAACACGTAACTGACAACAAGTATATATGTGATACAAAAAGTAACTACGCAGCAATATCCATGACAATGCATCACATCCGAAACAATAACACCAAAATAACGACGCACAAAACACTGACGACAGTCCTAAGCGTATGTAGGCTCTGATCTATGCGCACAACGTCCGCCCGTAACCCCATATCGACATCATTATGTGGCTGGTCAGTACCAAATTTGGTGCTGCAAGACTCATCACACCAACCAACCTATGCAACACATCTCTGCCAGACAAAAGTGCAGTAGATAGTTAGCATGCATACTATGCGACGTAACCACAAATGAACGACGACATGACTAAGTGCATAAGAGAGGGGCAACACAAACGCACCGTAGTTCTAGGGCAAACGTAGTACCCACGACCAGGGTTTTTGGTGGATCTTGATATCTTGACAACACAATGTCTAAAGCCACATGCACACATCCTCAGTGGCCATGACGAAGTGGCAGTTGACGTGGAGGACGCCATCTGTATACTCCTTTGATTTTTTTGTTCATGTTATAAATTGAAATAATTTGATGTAGTGTGCGGAATGAAAGAAAATAACTGAAAGAATTTCATTTTGAATTTAGGTTAACTATTGAAAATGCTAGTTTACTGGTGTGTCCTGATTAGGCATTTTCTTTTCTCAAGTTTTCCGTACTGTAGTTGTCTTATGTTGTCATGTTTTGGTAAACTTCTTCAGGAATACACTGTTGTTCAAATTATGAAATTAATTAAATAGATTTATGAAGAAATCAAAATTATATACCAAAAACATATACTAATAATTACAACTAAATTTCAACAGAAATACACAAAACAATAAAATGGTAAAGAAACCAAACCGAAGCCTGCACGGTAGCAATTTCCTTAAAACAGATTTCGCCGCCTCATGGGTGGAGTGCTTGAGGAATCCCGGCGTCTGTCTCCCAGGATACGACGGTCAAAAACCAGCTACGGCAAAAGCACTCTCTGTCTAGCTTAGCGAACAAAAACAGTGGCAGCACTCTCTCACATTAGGAACTTTCTAGCAAACTGACTAAAGAATAGAATAAACAATTTTTGTGTTGGAGACTTGACAGGAGGGTCTCAATTTATACATGTATAGGGGAGAGAGGAGAAGCTTCCAACCTTTATGGCTGGTCACTAATGCACCATTAACCTCTGCAATAAACGCAAGAGTTACAAACCCCATTAATGCACTATTAAACTCTACAATAAAGGCAGAAATTACAAACCCCATTAACTCTTTCATGAAGCTAACTTCATGGGGCAATTTCTCATTCAATTCTCAATGGTTTTTGGCCATTCTATTGGTGGTGTAAAGATCTCTTTGCAAAGCATCTAGACCCACTTGGACCCAACACAATAGATGGTTTGGACCCACTTCAAATTTAATTAAAGTCACCAAAAAATCATTTTTTTCAACAATCCCCCACATGAATAAAATTTGACCGAAAGACTCAACAAACGGACATCGTTCAACAATAATGACTCGAAGAGAGAGTGCAACGAATTAACCCCGACATCAAAGAAGGTAGCTTTTGGCTTTGAACCTCTCCTAGTGAAAACCTATCGAGTTTACTGGCTGATCAGTGAATAAGACATCTTGAACTGCTCTGCCGTTTATGTAAACTGAGACAATAGATCTCACACGGGAATTACTCCTACCATCATTTTGTTCTCACTGATGTGCCTTGTGTGGCCCTGGACACTAGCCTGGTTTAGCGAGTAGTTTCAAAGAATCTTGGCTTGCCCAATTCTTCTAGAAGCGACCCCACTTCACATTCACATAGGTGACTCTACTTGAGTATTCTACGATACTCAGCTCAACAGCTTAACACATTTTTCCAACAATCCCCCACATGAATAAAAATTGACCGAAAGACTCAACAAACGGACATCGTTCAACAATAATGACTCGAAGAGAGAGTGCAATGAATTAACCCCGACATCAGAGAAGGTAGCTTTTGGCTTTGAACCTCTCCCAGTGAAAACCTATCGAGTTTACTGGCTGATCAGTGAATAAGACATCTTGAACTGTTCTGCTGTTTATGTAAACTGAGACAATAGATCTCACATGGTAATTACTCCTACCACCATTCTGTTCTCACTGGTGTGCCCTGTGTGGCCCTGGGCACTAGCCTAATTCAGCGAGTGGTTTCAAAGAATCTTGGTCTGCCCAATTCTTCTAGAAGCGGCCCCACTTCAAACTCACATAATAGGTGACTCTACTTGAGTATCCTGCTATACTCAGCTCAACAGCTTAACACACTAAAGTCATTAAAAGCTCAGCTTAACCTCTACACTTGCAGGTATCACTGATAGAAGGAATGGCTGGAGGTTAAACCTCCTTAGTGACATACCACCGTTACACGCAATTAGGTTGTCCCATTGAACCTAGATCTTGGGATTTCCAGTCAATTAGGTTGGGTTTCTATTCCGGTAACTTCCAAAGGCCTTAACCCCATTCCTTTTGACGACGTTTCGACTAACACTCGATTTAACTCTTTGGTTAGCGAATCCGCAATGTTGTCCTTAGACTTTACATAGTCTATAGAGACAACTCCATTCGAAAGTAGTTGTCGTATGGAATTATGTCTACGACGGATATGTCTAGACTTTCCATTATACATATTACTCTGTGCCCTACCAATTGTAGATTGATTATTGCAATGAATACAAATAGCTGGCACAGGTTTAGACTAACGTGGAATATCTTCAAAGAAATGGCGTAGCTATTCAGCTTCTTCTATTGCTTTATCTAAAACAATAAACTCTTATTCCATCGTTGATCTAGATATACACGTTTACTTAGAAGATTTCTAAGATACGGCTGCCCCATCAAGAGTGAACACATATCCACTAGTGGACTTTGAATCCTTTATATCTGATATCTAATATGCGTCACTATAGCCTTCAAGCACCGATGGATATCGAGTATAATGCAGTCCAGAATCCCGAGTGTAGCGTAAATACCTTAACACCCGCACAATGCCCTTCAAATGAGAAGCATCGGGATTACTTGTGTATCTACTAAGCATGCTAATCGAGTAGGCTACATCCGACCTAGTACAACTCATCAGATACATCAACTTCCAATACCTGAGAATATTCTAACTGAGAAACACTCTGTTTATTATTCTTGGTAAAATGTAGACTAAAGTCTACAGGTGTCGATGACACACTCGTATCTGATCCACTAAACTTCTCAAGTATCTCATCAACATAATGAGACTGAGAAAGTACAATTTCGCCAGATATTCTAGTAATCTTAATTCCCAGAATAACATCTGCAATGCCCATATCTTTCATGTCAAACTTTGAGTTTAACAATCTCTTGGTAGTTTGAACCATTTTATCATTACTACCAACAATGAGTATGTTGTCTACATATAGACACAAAATGACATAACCTCTGTCCGTGTCTTTAACACTTATGCACTTGTCACACTCATTAATTCTAAATCCATTTGACAACATAACGTTGTCAAACTTCTCATGCCATTGCTTAGGAGCTTGCTTCAAACCATACAATGATTTGACAAGCTTACAGACTTTCTTATTTTGTCCTGGAGCTAAAAACCCCTCGGGTTGCTCCATGTAGATTTTTTCATTTAAATCTCTATTTAAGAAAGATGTCTTTACATCCATCTGATGTATCTCCAGACCACATAGCGATGCTATCGCAATCACCATGCTAATGGATGTAATCCTTGTCACAGGTGAATACGTATCAAAGTAATCCAGGCCTTCTCTCTGCCTGTATCATTTGATAACGAGTCTAGCTTTATACTTATCAATTGACCCATCAGCTTTAATCTTTCTTTTAAAGATCTACTTACTCCCCAAGGCTTTACTGCCTGGGGGTAGATCAACCAACTCCCAAGTATGATTCTGCAAGATGGAGTCAATCTTACTCTTAATTGCTTCTTTCCGCAAAGGACTTTCTGGTGAAGTCACTGCTTCATGGAAAGTTCGAGGTTCTTCCTCTAACATATAAGTCAAAAAATCCAGACGAAGGACTTTGTAGTCCTAGCCCTCTTACTCCTTCTTAGCTCATCTACATCTTTAGCTTAATCATCAACTTGATCACGCAAGTGATCATTTGTTTGATTAGCTATGTAATCATTGTCACCTTCAACCTCTTTCATGGAACTTGGAATACATTTTTAAATAAAGATGCATTTCTTGATTCCATGATAGTATTCTTGTGTATATCTAGAATAGCAGATTGAACCACAAGAAATCGATATGCACTGCTATATTGTGCATAACCGTTGAACACAAAGTCAACGGATTTTTAAGCTGATCCTAACCCTCTTGGGTTTAGGTATTCCCACCTTTTGCATGACACCCCCACATTTGTAAAATTTATACAAAGGCTAAATGACATAACCTCTGTTAGTGTCTTTAACACATATGCACTTGTCACACTCATTGATTCTAAATCCATTTGACAACATAGCGTTGTCAAACTTCTCATGCCATTGCTTAGGAGCTTGCTTCAAACCATACAATGATTTGACAAGCTTACAGACTTTCTTACTTTGTCCTGGAGCTGAAAACCCCTCGGGTTGCTCCATGTAAATTTCTTCATTCAAATCTCCATTTAAGAAAACTGTCTTTACATCCATCTGATGTA